GAGTCTCTCACAAGTACATTACTAATTTTTCCTTTGCGTTACACAACATTCAGTCTAAGATGGCCTGTTCTCTACTTAAGACTTCAATTTATTGGTCCAGAGAAAACATCCCAAAACATCTTCCAAAATACTAAATACCCCTGGATATTCAGTTCCCATCCCTGATCACCCTTAAGCCATGTCTCTGCAATCCCTACAGTATCATAGCCATTTACATCCGTATGCACAATTTATCCACTTTATTTTGAATGCTCCTTGCATTCAGGCATAAAGGCTTAACGCTTGTCTTTCTTATGTTCCTTGACTCATTTCCCTCTTTTTTCCCAAAAAAAAAACTGTGCCATTGTTTGACTCTGGCCCTTGAGTCCTCTGCCTATCATTTCTCTTATTGCCATCTTTGACGTTCTAAGGAGGTATTGGTAGATTCTAGTGGGCTTAAATGCGGACAAATCCCCAGGTCTGGATGAGTTGTATCTCTCAAGCTGCTGTGCAAGATGAGGGAGGAAATTACAGGGCCTCTGATCCAAATTTTTAATTCCTCTTTGGCCAAAGGGGAGGTACCACAGGACTGGAGGACAGCTAATGTGTTTTCACTTTTCAAGAAGGGTGACAGACATAAACCAGGGAATTACAGACCAGCCAGCCTCACAGATCATGTTCGGTTAGCTACTGGAGAAAATTCTGAATGATAGAATCAATAACTATTGAGACAGGCACGGTTTGATCAAGTATAGTCAGAAGAAAGTCAAACCTCAAATTTGAGAGATGGTGATCAGGCGTGCAACTGATGGGTTTCAGCAAATTCCTTGAGAAAGTCCCACATGGGAGACTGATAAAGAAGGTAAAAGCACATGGGATCCTGGTTAACTTGGCAAGTGGAGTCTAAAATTGGCTTAGTGGTAGAAGACAGAGGGTGGTAGTAGAAGGCTGTTTGGGAGACTCTACATTGGTATCTAGCGGGATCAGTGTTAGGTCCCATAATGTTCGTGGAATATAAAGGATATAGAAGAAAATCTGGGGGTGAGGCAGGGTTGATGAGCAAGAGTGAGGATGACACAAAGATTGGCTGGGAGAAGGAAGGTGTTAGGTTAAGGGAGAATATAGATGGGTTGGTCAGGCAGACAAGTCAGTGGCAGATGGAATTAAATGTGAGGTGATGCACTTTGGAAGAAGGGAGAAGACAAGGGAGTACTTGTTGAATGACCAGTCATTAGGAAGATCAGAGGACCAGGGGATTTTGGGATGCTTGTCCACAGATCTCTGAAGGTGACAGGACAGATTAATAGGGTAGTTAAGGAAGCATACGGGACATTTGTCTTAATTAGTCTTGGCACAGATTATAAGAGCAGGGAGGTGATGTTGGAGCTGTACAAACTTTGGTTAGGCCACAGCTGGAGTAGTGTGCACAGTTCTGGTCACTGCCCTATAGGAAAGACGTGATTGCACTGGAGGAGATCCACCAGTGTTGTCAGAGATTGAGCATTTTAGCTACGAAGAGAGGCTGGATAAGCTCGGGCTGTTTGCTTTAGAGTAGAGAAGGCTGAAAACAGACCTGATTGAGGTGTGTAAGATTATGAATAGGCATGGACAAGGTGGGTAGAAAGCAGCTATTGCCCTTAGGTGAAAGGTCAACAACAACAAGGCATAATTTTTGAACCAACCTATGTACTCAATTGGTCTGCCATCTGTTCTGTCATAACTTACACAATTTCTGACTGTAAGGGACCTACATTTGTCTTCATTTTTTTTTGGGAATCATTACAAGACAACAAAAAAAAAATCAGAACGATCTGGCATATGCCATGGCAATTACTTTTAGTACAATAATTTTGTAAAATATGATAAAAATTTTCATTTTGCATTTAACCTACTTTTAAGAGAATGGTTTTATAATTGAACAGACCAACAAAACAAATGAGCTTGCAAAATTCAAATGAAAAATTCCTGAAGTTATTAGGTTTGAAGAGGGAATATGTAATACGTCTTTAAACTTTGTTAGGAACCAGAATGTTTGATTTGAACAAAAAAAAAGCAACGTAAATGAATTGGTGAATAACAGTGTAATACATAATTTCTATATATTTCTCAAAAGTGTACGCATAAAAACGGAGAAATCAAGCACTGAAGCCGATGTAAAACTTAAATTATCTGCCTTTCTTTTCACATTTTCCTCCTCCTTTATCCCCTTTCTACTTGAAGATAGCAACGTATTTAGGGATAAAACCCCAGGTGTCAGGATCATGTTTCCTCAAGGCAATTCTAGATGAGAATGGTCCTGCAGCCAATTTTCTATCATCCAACTATAAAGACTCAGCACCTTCTGTTGCAGCTAATTGTTTAAATTATCCCTCTAATTAGGAGTCCTTTCCAAGTCTATTTACTACTCGGCAGAACATTAGCTTTGACACCCCACAATGCCCTAATTCAATCCCGCAAAGTCGTCTACCTATTTGTTTTGGAGTATCAGGAACCACACATTAAGCTCGAATCAGTGTGTTTAATAGGTCCATTGACATTAGCAATGCTGCCTTTTGATTTGGGATTTATTGAGCAGTATGGCAACAATGATAGTCTTTTTTAAACTTATGTCCTTAAGAATTCCAAGAGCAGAAACCAGCAAATGAAACATAAATTTCTAAGCACAAATAGGACTAACTTCCCTAGGCTTCAAAGCCCAGACTGTCAAGACTCCAGACAACATGTGTTTGGACATCCTTGTCTTATACTTTGACACAAGGATCCATTGAAGTTTTACTTTGAAAAAGAAATTATTTGGATTTTTATTGCAACTTTTAGATTCTCAAAATATACCAAAACACTTCATAGAATCATGGAGTCATACAGTGTGGAAACAGACCCTTCGGTCCAACCAGTCCATACAACATTATCCCAAACTGAACTAGTCGAACATACCTGCTCCAGGCCCATATCTCTCCCATTCATGTACTTACGTTAGTGTCTTGCAACTGTTCTGCCAACAAAGTGTGTTGCATGAATGAACAAGACCCCACAAGCAGCAGAGAATAAATATTGGCTTGGACACTGAGAAAGGTCCTTATCCCTCTTTGAAAATGTTGAACTGAACAAATGGATGGAAACTTGATTTATTGTCACATCCAAATGTGTGGCAAACCTCTCAAACTATACTCAAGTGCTTGAGTGTAGCTGAAAGTCAATCTTTAACCAAAGGCAAGAATGCTACCAATAGACCAAATGTGACATGGTCAGGTTTTGGAAATACAAGGGTATTAAAACTCAACCAGTTTTTGCATTTCTAAAAATAACCAGATAATACAAACTTCTAACAATATACTCCAAGTTAAATTCACTAAAATCTATCTAAAAACTTTTAATGATTGCAATAAACTGGTATGCATAATGTTTAGCGACAGAATTGTGTCTTAGCTTGAGGGCCTGTCGCAAGCAGTTTTAGTCTAACTATGTGTAAGACTAAATAATCAGTCTGAAAGGCTTGATATTTAATTCTTCACCATAGCTGGGTTTGCTGATATCCATTAGGTTAGTTGTATGAGGGGTTACAACTGGACTTAGCATCCAATGTAAAAATGGGAAAGACAGACTTGAATCATAGATCATAGAACCCTACAGTGTGGAAACAGGCCATTTGGCCCAACAAGTCCACAGCGACCATCAGAGCATGCCCCCAGGCCCATTCCCCTAATCTACACATTCCTGAACACTATGGGCAATTTTTAGCATGGTCAATTCACCTAGCCTGCACATCTTTGGACTGTGGGAGGAAACGCACACAGTCACAGAGAGAATGTGTAAACCCCACACAGACAGTCACCCGGGGTGGAATTGAACCCGGCTCCCTGGCACTGTGAGGCAGCAGTGCTAACCACTGTGCCACTTGGTTACCAGACTTCAATTTACATTCATGTAAATGGTGCAATAGCATTAGGTCAAAATAGAATCATACTGATATGCTGTTCCCCTTTCATCACTGTATCTTGTAACAACTCATTGGAACAGGAAGTTGGTGCCACTGACATCATCAATATGCACCATGAACTGGAGGTCAGTGCCCACTCCTCTCATTGGCACATGCATAGTTACACTGATGGTTGTACATCTAACCAACCTTACACCATATTTGCAGTTTCCATGCACAGTTCTGGTCTCCACTCACCACCTCCCTGGCTGCCCCACTCCCTTATTGCCTCTCTCTTGCTTGTTGCCTTCTTCCCTTACTTTGGGGGTTGTGGGGGGTGGGGAAGAACCTTTTAAAAGCAAAGAAACAGGACAGAGAGAGGGAGTGAGACAGTGAGGGGTCAAAGCCTGGTTGCCAGGGAGGTAGTGAACAGCACAGCCAAGTATTTAATTAACTTAGAACATTTGAACATGTGCCCCTTTATTGGTTCCAAATTTTTGACGCAAGCAGTTACCTGTAGTGTTGCTAGAAATAACTCATACTTTGACTGCTTGGGTGGTCAGTGCACCCGCGGTGGCAGCAGACACAGCCACTGGTCAGGTGAGTTACACCACAGTGCTGACTGTGCCCTTGAATTGTACTTAATTCAGAAATCAGTGCATTCAGGCAAAAAGGGAAATAATTGGAGAGAAGAGTGATGAAATAAAGTCTTACACCTGTTAAATCTTCCATATTAATTTTCAAAGGTAAAGATTTACAGCACTTGCATGATAAACTGTTGATACTAATGAAAATGTTTTCTATAAATGTTTTATTACATAAGTATAGAAAACAAAACAAGTGGCTGATGATGTTGTGCAGCTTGGAGGAACATTAAAAATTATTCAATAGTGGTTTACAGCAGAATGATCAAGATGAAGAATGGCAAGCTATGACTGCATGATAACATCATATTCTTGACCTTTAATGTCATATTCTTAGTGCTGTGGGTAGGATGAACATAAATCGGAAGGACTTGAACAGAGGAAAGAATTGGTTAAGCAGCACATGTGTATTCAAGGAAATTATAAGCAAAAGACAAAATAAGGACAAAGAAAATGAATACCCCATTTTCGAAACGCTTGTCTGTAGACAAATGAATTCCATTCCATCTATTCAGCTGATCTTGAGACTGATGTCCACCTGCAAAAGCAAACCAAAGGTTCTTTTGAAATATGCCCAGTTGGATTCAAGTTAGGCCAGATAGAGAAAAAAAAATTGTATAAATGAAATCATTGGTTGGACTGACTATGCTGCCAGCTTTGTTTTATACCAGAAACTGTGTAATGGATACAGGTATTTCTCCTATAACGAGATAGATGTGTGACCTCGCACTATAGAAAATCGTGTTATAAGGAAATTGCTATAGAAAATAGTTATAGCTATACAGCAGAAAGTTTGCATTATCCAAATACAGTTCACAATTCATCAATCGCGTTACAGCCAATTCGCATTAACGAAACAGGCATTATAGCAGAAATACCTGTAGAATATCTCTCAAGTCCTAATGTAGCATCACATTCACCTCAAAGGGTACATGATAATGCCAGAAGTTATTGCCAATTATGTAAATGCATTAGTCACTGCCAAGAAGGACTGTTCTCCCACTGTGGCTATCAGCTTGTACCTCAGCCCTGTGCCCGAGTGAGGAGTTGTGAATTTGAGCCCAACTTGGTCTGACAATGGGGTATAGAATTGAAGCACAAGTGTATGATCTGAGGCACTGTATCTTATGAGATATCAAATTAAGAGAATGCTTTTCGATTCAATTATGTCTATTTGTTGTGACATTCTCATGATATTATTGGAAGAGCAATGAATAGCAAAGAAGTTAATTTTTAAAAATTAAACAGAATGCAAGTGTAGGGCAATACAAGCTGAAATTAGTATGCGATAAGGAACAAAAGGAGGACATTCTCCTTCCTACAAAGTGATCTGCATTTGGAATAAGCTTGCAAGTAAGGATAATTTAGAGGAAATGTCTGGAATAAATTAAGGGATAACAAGATATGACAACAGCAAGGCCATAGGTACAAAGTGAGAACCACAATAGGAGAACAGTCCTTCTTGGCAGTGACTAAAGCATTTGCGTAATAGGCAATAACTTCTGGCATTATAATGTGGTGAATAGGGATTTTCAGAATGGGTGAAGAAGGATCAAAGACGTTCCTCAACCTGCAGTGCCTTGATTATACTTTGTTAAATGGTGATAGGTTGACCTTTTGCCATTTCACTCAAAAAAAATGGGAAAAATAGGGTGTGTCAGACTACGGCTGATCGATTTCCGTGACAAAATTTTAAAATATGGTGGTCTAAAAGTATCAAGCAATAAAAATCGAATTTGACTTCTGATATGAATAGTTCTGAGAAGACTTTTTCATATGAAATGCAGGGCTATGGGGAAAGAGCAGGTGAACAGGACACTTGGAAAATTCTTTCAAAACATCTGCCACATGTACAGAACGGTCTCTTTCTGTAGTGTATGCATATATGGATTGCCAAAAATATCCAAATCAGCTTTTTTTACACTATACTTTGAAATTGCACATAACTATGCAAAGAAAAATATAGAAAGAATTAAAATCTCCAGTTCCTGACATGCACATTTTATTCCATACTCATCAACTCTTTAAAAATATATTTCAGTGTGTTGTGGTTGGTTGGCTCGCCGAGCTGGTTCGTTGTTGGTCCACAGACGTTTCATTACCCTGCTGGGTAACATCATTACTGCAGCCTCCGATGAAGTGCTGTTGTGTTTTCCCGCCTGGTTTTTAAACTCTGGAGTCCGTTGGGCACGGGAGTTCCTAGAAGCCCAGTACTCCAAGAGGAAAGCCATCAACAAACACATAGAACTCGACCCCATATATACTCCATTGCGAAGGAAAAGCGGAAGTGAGGTAATCCAGCCCAACCGACTCCAGAGTTTAAAAACCAGGCGGGAAAACACAACAGCGCTTCATCGGAGGCTGCAATGATATGTTACCCAGCAGGGTAATGAAACGCCTGCGGAACAACAACGAACCAGCTCGGCAAGCCAACTAACCACCCACAACATCCACAACCCAAGCTACAAATTTACTCCAAAACATATTTCAGTGTTTTACTTGCTTTGTTCAATATTTTCATTAGGTGAATCTTCATGACGGAGAAAGAATTTCACTTCTTCTCTACGAGGTCCCCACTTCTGCAGATGTTCATACATCATATGGTCAGAAGGAATGGCACGTTCTGTCAAAGAAACAAGATGTTATCTCCTGTAGAACATTACAACACTAATTTTACTCAAATTTTCAGAAGTAAATAAAATGCTGGACTTTAAATAACTTGTTATAAAAATAAATGCTTTCGTGAAAATAATGCTTGGCTTCAATTAAGTATAAGGCAACAATCCAAATCAAGTAGCTTATAACACATTGATGCTTAAAATTTACCACTCATTCTTTTCTATTTCAAATTACAAGCGCCCCAGCGCAAAGCGTATATACAGTACAGTTGGACAAAAGGACAAATACATGAATGGTAACTGTAGTTCAAAGGTGCCATAGAACTCACCAATACTTCTCTTCTCAAAGAATGCAAGAGAGAGAGATGGCAAATAATTAAGGAAATGCACAGAAACAGGGAAGAGGAAGTGTGCAAAGATTGACATTTCTTGTGACATAAAAATTGATTGGGAGGGGACAGCTGCTGTGGTAGGTGAAGTCATCTAAAAATAGAACGATTAAGTGAACATAGAATGATTAAGTGGACCAATAGTCATAAGATTAGATTTGGGGGAATGAGTTGACAAGTACTAGATGGTACTTATCATAAATAAATGCAAGGGATGAGTGGAGGAAAGGGGCTTAAATTAGATTATAAAAATAAATAATACTGTATGCTTATGTAGATTGCCAAAAAATCTGAATTAGCTTTCTGATGCTGTACTTTGAAACTGCACCTAACTCCAGCAAAGAATGTTTGGAGAGAATTAAAAATGGTCCCATTCCTGACACAGAACACAGGAAGGAAGTCTCAAGTACTGATCTATAGTTCAGAGAAGCCACAGGAAGAATGATTTTAAGCTTTATAGTCAGCGATAAAATACATGCTATCAAGGTTAATAGGTGAGCTTACATGGAGCACTGGCTTGATATCACCCAGAGCAAATGAAAAGAGAATTCAGTTGAGCACGTAGCTCTGTCACGATGTGTCAACTTAACATTTGCACAGCGTTTGTGTTTGAAGCATATCCTTGCCAGATTGATGCCAACTAGAAAGCTAAAAAACAAAATCTTTGCTGAGCTCCATTCTCACGGAGGCAGATTTAGGCTAATTCATATCGATTAACCTGCTCTGAAAATTCTGTTCATATTTTGGACAGCCAGGAAACATGGCTCCACAACAACCTAAAGAAGGAAATTTTCCATACTTCCCAACTTAAAACTTGTAAAAACTTCCAGGTTCCGAAACCACAAAACTAACTCATTTTCCCTTGGACTATTGCTGTTTATCATTCTCGTTGAGATCTACAATAATTTGAGATATACTGTTTGCCAAATATGTTGCAAAAACATTACTTTCATCCATCATCAGTGTTGCAGGGGATAATCTCATATTTCTGACCATCAGCCCTGATGGAAACATCTTAGTTTGAAGTGCATTCAATCCGCAACTGAACAGACCAGGGAATTTGTATCTCAGTTATGAGGACAGTGGAAGTTGAGAATTTATATGTTGGTGAAAACTTGATTTCAGCACTTCTGAAGAATTCTTCAAAATTCTAACGGGTGCAGTAATAAATTGAAGTAACCTAAAAAAAAAAGCTTTCTGCAGAATAGGGAAAATGAGTATATAATAGACACAAAGAAAATGGGCACGCATTTAGATCCTGAATCAAAAGCATTGTTGAAGAGATAGGTTTTAAAGAGGCTTTTGAAAGCAAGTGAAGAATCAGAGCAGAGAGCTTTTTTTCCCCAAAGGAATCCAGAGTATAACAGTTAGATATGTAAAAGGTGGTGCTAAATTTTAAGTGTTGTGGGATGAGTCAAAAGTCAGGTAGAGATATATGACTGGAGGTGATCACTAAAATATGGTGAGATAAAGGAAGGAAAATATTTGAAAACAAGAATTGTAACCGTAAGAACAATTAAATGGGCACACTGGTGCTTGGAAAGAAGAGCAGTGGTTCAAGGATGATATTCCCAAGGTTTAGGACTTCTGTAAGAAAAGGGGAAGAGCGATCGATAGAAGCGAAGGCAAGAAATGCAGTACAAGTTGAAAAATGCGATATTGGCAAAAGAACAGCTCTGAGAAAGAACACTAGCTCAGGATCAAGCAATGTGACAAGTTTCTGTGGTTAAAAAGGCAAGTTAATTTGACCTTGAGATTTCACACAACTTAGTCAGTTACAAAGCAGGTCACTTCGTGAATAACTCACTGAAGCAATAAAATAGATATTTAAGAAAGGAGTGCATAAGCACAAAATGTATTTCCCTAAGCTCACAGCAATAATACTTCCTTCAAACTTGACATTAAAGAAAATGTTATTGGTAGCTAGTGCAGCAAGAAAAACAACAGATAAATACTATCTCCTACTATCTCAGATAAATATTCAATCATGAATAACAATCAAAAATGTAAACTTTTTGTATATATTATAGATATATGACCAATGTGTAAATTAACACCAATAGAACCATTTCTGTAGCGTACTGCAATGCAGTGATTTGGTTTACAGGATTGCTCGCTATCCTCTCCTAAGGTTCAAATACCCTCATGCAAAGACATTTTGAGCTGAAAATAATATTTCCATGATAAGGAAATTAACTACATTGTTCATTGCCTAAAATAGCATAATGAGTTGAAATAACTTCTTCTGTCCTGTGAAAATGGTAGAAACTCAACTGCAGCTGCAATTCTTCTCCAGGAAAAGTATTTTTTTGTAGAAACATTAAACAAATTATTGACCTTGTATGAAATGTCTACTGGGAAAGTGAAGTTAGATTTATGCCAAAAAAACAGATGCCAGTTTGCTGCTTCAAGCCAGCAAAAACCAGTCAATATTCAAACAGAGACGAATCTAAAGCTCCTCGTTTAAATAAACGATGATATAAATTGATAGCTCATATTTATAACCTAAAATACAAATATAATTTAGATTTATAAGTTTAGAAAGCAACTCCTCTTTCTTTGTCTGCTGAACATGGGCCTATTTTTCTTATTGCCAGGTGTTTTTGGCTACCATCATTTTTACATTTTAAAACACTATCTCTACTTTTAAATAGTCCACCAGCACATTCCCCAAGTTTCTGTTGATGTTAAATAAATGCATTCGCCTCTTAAGACTGAGACTAGGACTGAAACTAATAAGGGTTCTGTTTCAATCCATGGTCAAAGTATCTGATCTCAATTAAAGCAATGCATTCTTAATTGAAGGTGGGGATAAAGAATAAGCCATCCAGAAATTGCAATTCACAAAGGTTTCTGCCAAAAAGGAGTGCTCATTGACATTATGCGAAGAGATACATTCTTCCATTAGGCCCAACTCCTAAATGGAAAGGACAACTTAGATAAGTACCAGAGGACTGCTGGTATCCATAGACTCCACAGAATATGAGCTAACAACTTCAGATGATTGAGAGTATAGACTGGAATCTTTGGAAACAGAAAAATATCAGCTGTACATGAATGCAGCAGCTTTATTCCAACATATTCCTTTCCAGCGAGTAGCAGATATACCCGTTTGATTTTGAAACTTTACGTATATTTATGCAGTAAGGTCAAAATGTAGAACCCACTCAGGTTATTCTATTAACTGTCTACTTGCCAGAACAATTTATTTATCTTCATTTCTCCTCAAATTAAAACAAGTTAATATTTGGACAAAAAAACAGCAAGACATTTATTGCATTCTATTCCTTCTGTTGTAAAAGCATTACGCAATTTCTTTTAGTTCATCACTCCTTTTCGTTCATTGCAAACACTATTGATTTAAGTTTCTGTGCAGGATTACACAAGTTATTAGATCCATACAGATTGGAGAAAAAGTTTGGTGCAATAATAATATACTTAATTATTTTTAGTAGTTCGAAAAAGAGTTGTTAAAAAGGTGAAATTTCAAAGTTCTGTTAATGTTAATTGTTTTATTGATTAGTTTACAAGAAAGAGCAACCACTTTTTTGGGCTAACAAAGTGTAGAGCTGGATGAACACAGCAGGCCAAGCAGCATCAGAGGAGCAGGAAAGCTGACGTTTCAGGCCTAGACCCTTCTTCAGAAATGGGGGAGGGGAAGGGGATTCTCAAATAAATAGGGAGAGAGGACGGCAGCGGATAGAAGATGGATAAAGGAGAAGATAGGTAGAGAGGAGACAGACAGGTCAAAGAGGCGGGGATGGAGCCAGTAAAGGTGAGCGTAGGTGGGGAGCTAGGGAGGGGATAGGTCAGTCCAGGGAGGACGGACAGGTCAAGGGGATGGGATGAGGCTAGGAGGAAGGAGATGGGGGTGGGGCTTGAGGTGGGAGGAGGGGATAGGTGGGAGGAAAGACAGGATAGGGAGGCGGGGACAAGCTGGGCTGGTTTTGGGATGCGGTAGGGGGAGGGGGGATTTTGAAGCTTGTGAAGTCCACATTGATACCATTAAGCTGCAGGATTCCCAAGCAAAATATGAAGTGCTGTTCCTGCAACCTTCGGATGGCATCGTTGTGGCACTGGAGGAGGCCCAGGATGGACATGTGGTCTAAGGAATGGGAGGGGAAGTTGAAATGGTTCGCGACCGGGAGGTGCAGTTGTTGAGTGCAAACCGAGCATAGGTGTTCCGCAAAGCGGTACCCAAGCCTCCGCTTGGTTTCCCCAATGTAGAGGGGGCCACAACGGGTACAGCGGATACAGTACACCACATTAGCAGATGTGCAGGTGAACATCTGCTTGATGAGAAATGTCTTCTTGGGGCCTGGGATGGGGTTGAGGGAGGAGGTGTAGGGGCAGGTGTAGCACTTTCTGCAGTTGCAGGGAAAAGTGTCGGGTGTGGTGGGGCTGGAGGGGAGTGTGGAGCAGACAAGGGAGTCACGGAGAGAGTGGTCCCTCCGGAAAGCAGATAAGGGTGGGGAGGGAAAAAATGTCTTTGGTGATGGGGTCGGATTGCAGATGGCAGAAGTGTTGGAGGATGATGCGTTGGATCTGGAGGTTGGTGGGGTGGTATGGGAGGACGGGGTTGATTCTGTTTTGGTTGTTATTGCGGGGAGGGGGGTGAGGGATGAGTTGCGGGAAATGCGGGAGACATGGTTGACGGCGTTCTTGACCATTGGGTGGGGGGGGGGGG